TTTTCTCGAATTTGTTCAACCTAGCAAGGTTCTTTGGTTTCACTCATTGGTCAAAGAAGCAATTTAGTTTTACCTCTTCTCTTTCTTTTCCGTTGCCCCTCCGGTGCCATTCTAGATCTCGGGACGAGATCCTCTCATAGTGGTGGAGTGTTGTAACGCCCCAAGACCGGAGCTTCAGATGCCTTCCGTGGTTTCCGGGTTTCATCGTGTGTTTTGTTTGGTTTGGTGCATCATGTGCATTGCATCATGTCATCATGCCATCATCTCATAAATCTTTTGTAACTCACCTAAATAAATTGCATGGATCTTCGGTCCATTTAAATCGAGGGAATTCACATGGTGATTCTCTTTATAACATATCCTCCCAATATTAGGGAGCTAAATAAAAATATTCCACTCGTTTGGAATTACCGCAAACACACTTGCAAAATATCCCAATGCCTTTGTCCCATGCATCATCTCCTTCTCTTTTCCTTCTAGTTCCTTTCTTTTGCAAGTGCCACTTTCCCCTTCTCTATTTATGTTCAGTCTTTTCCTATAAATTCTCGACCATGCCCTCAACCTCTCTGTCAAATTTCATCTCTTTTGAAATTGTTTTGGTTAGGGTTTAAAATGGTTCAAGTTTGAGTTTAATTCAAACTTGAATTATTTTTTTCTTCCTTTAAAATCTCCAAACCAATTTTGTTAAATAGAGCACATTTTCAGGATCATGAATATATTTTTATATTTCTCTAGCTCCTCTCCTTTTCCCCCTGCTTTTTCCTTTTTGTATTTCTGTCTGAAGAAATAAAAAAGCAGCGGCATCAGCTACCTGGGCCTCGGCCACTCGGCCGGCCCATTAGCTCAGCCAGCGCCGGCCCATCCCGCACCCAGGCCGGCTTCCAAGGCCACTTCTCCTAAACCTAGGCCCAGCCTCTCGCTCCCCACTCCTTTCCCTCGTCTTCCCACCAGCGCCGCCAGGAGAGGCCCGATCTCCATCTCCTGGCCGATCCCCTCCCTATTCGGTCGTTCCCACCTGCGCCTCCCTCTCCCTCGCTCGCAGCGCCCTCTCCCTCGATCTCCTCCTTCCCTGCTTCGCCAAAGAGAGGAGCGAGGCACCACGCCCTGCCGTCCCCGCTCCGCTTCTTCCAGCCCCGCACGCGTCAAGGAGACACCGCCAAACTCCGCCCCTGCAGCTTCTCCTCTTCCGCCAGGAGCTTGCGGAGCCTAGCGACCATTCCCGCCTCAACGCCGCCGTCCTCCATGGCCGTTGCCGCTGCTGCGCCTCGTCGCCGGAGACCCGTTCCTCTACCGTGGCCTCCCTTTGCCAGCGCCGCGCCTCCGTCGCCCGGCGAGCTCCGCCACCAGCCGTGCCAGCGAGCTTGCCGTTGTCGTCCGCCTCGTCGTGTTCCCCTCCACCTCCAGCGTGCCAAGTTTGTCGTCGTTCTCGCCTGCGACCTCACCATGGCACCGTTGCCTCGCTGTAGCTGCTGCTTCGCTGTTCAGTGCTGCTGCGCCTTCGTTCTGTCACCTGTTGAAGGAGACGAGCAGCAGCCAAGCCCCATCGAGCTCATACACAAGCTGCCCGAGTCCTTGTCCACAGCCGCCCAAGTCGTCGCCTCTTTGCGCCATGCAGTGTTACCGTGGACGCATGCACCCCCGGATCGGAACCGCAAGCACCAAGTACACCACCCGCAAGACTCGGACTTCGAACGCCAAGTACTACTACATACCCGAAGAATTCAGATGCATCAAGTCCCCGAGGAGACCCGTTTTTTTGTTAAGTTCGACTACCCGTTTCATCAAGTACCACTACGGCCGGAGACCTCGAACACGCCAAGTACCCCTTCGAGCTATCAATACCGCAAGCGCCAAGTTCCACCACGATAGGAGAACAACTGCCGTCGACATGCATTTTGCCAAGTACCACTACCTTCGACGCGAACCACTACTTCCACTACGGCATGAGTACAACTACTACCACTACGAACGTGACGAGAACGTCTACTTCCCCTACACCGCATCGAACTTGGTCCGTTCCGACAACACACGCTTCGAAGGTATAACCCCGAGACGACGCCCGTGAACGAATGTTGCGTGTTGTATGAAATGCTCGTGTTTACTCCGTGTCGGAGTTGTTCGGTGCACGTTGCCCCTCTTTTGCCTTGCCACCGACATGTGGGAACCCCGTAATCGGGAGCATCCCACCATCCTTGCATGACACGCTCCCGTCACTTCCTTTTGCACCGGTATCCCCGTGGGCTACCGGATAACCGATATGTTGTCGTGGCATCATTTTCGGATTCGTCGTCGTGGCACCCTTTTCCTTTCCACCACGATGTCAAATGCTTCATAATAATGCTCTTGTCAAGTTTTAATAAAAATTGCATAAACTTGTTCATGTCATCTGCATCATGATAACAACAATTAAAATGTTTAAATTGTTGTTGCATTAAATTACTAAGGCATATGGGGATTTACCGGATTTGTTATTTGTTATGTCCGGCCCCATTTAAATTGTTTAGATGATATAGTTTTGTTATGCTTCACCACTTGCCATGCTTAAACAACATTTAATATTGTTGAGTACCTAACGAGAGAGAACTAAATAAGTCATGTGGTGTTTCGTCAATATGCAACTCGTTGCGTATTGAGCTCCACTTAATTTGTAGTGTTGTTTGTTGCACTTTGCCATGCCATGTTTCATTAAACCGGACATGCATCATACTCGATTGTGCATCGTGCCATGTTGTTGTGGTGGTTGTTTACTATGTTGTGTGCTTCTTTTCCGGTGTTTGCTTCTTCGGGTTGGTTCCGATAACGTCGAGGTTGTGAGGATCCGTTCGTCTACGTCCGTTTGTCTTCTTCATGGACTCGTTCTTCTTCCTTGCGGGATTTTAGGCAAGATGATCATACCCTCGAAATCACTACTATCTTTGCTATGCTAGTTTGCTCGCTCTTTTGCTATGCCATTGCTACGATGCCTACCACTTGCTTGTCAGCCACCCAAATTGCCATGTTCAGCCTCTAACCCACCAATGTCCTAGCAAACCGTTGATTGGCTATGTTACCGCTTTACTCAGCCCCTCTTATAGCGTTGTTAGTTGCAGATGAAGATTGAAGTTTGTTCCTTGTTGGAACATGGAGATGTTGTTCCTTGTTGGAACATGTTTACTTGTTGGGATATCACAATATATCTTATTTAATTAATGCATCTATATACTTGGTAAAGGGTGGAAGGCTCGGCCTTATGCCTGGTGTTTTGTTCCACTCTTGCCGCCCTAGTTTCCGTCATATCGGTGTTATGTTCCCGGATTTTGCGTCCCTTACGCGGTTGGGCTATAATGGGAACCCCTTGACAGTTCGCCTTAAGTAAAGCTCTTCCAGCAATGCCCAACATTGGTTTTACCATTTGCCACCTAGCCTTTTCTTTTCCCTTAGGAGTCGCGCTCCTGAGGGTCATCATTATTTTACCCCCCGGGCCAGTGCTCCTCTGAGTGTTGGTCCAAACTAGAGTCCTGTGCAGCGCCCCCTCGGGGAAACTCGAGGTTTGGTTTTAGTTGTACGGAGCGCTCATCTGAGTGTGCCCTGAGAAAGAGATATGTGCAGCTCCTATCGGGATTTGTCGGCACATTCGGGCGGTGTTGCTGGTTTAGTTTTACCCTGTCGAAATGTCTTGTTGTACCGGGATACCGAGTCTGATCGGAGTGTCCCGGGTGGAGGTCTATTCCTTCGTTGACCGTGAGAGCTTGTCATGGGCTAAGTTGGGACACCCCCTGCAGGGTATTATCTTTCGAAAGCCGTGCCCGCGGTTATGGGCAGATGGGAATTTGTTAACGTCCGGTTGTAGAAAACCCGAAGTTGACCTTAATTAAAATACATCAACCGTGTGTGTAACCGTGATGGTCTCTTTCCGGCGGAGTTCGGGAAGTGAACACGGTGTTGTAGTTATGCTTGACGTAGGTTGCTATAGGATCACTTCTTGATCATACTTTTATCGACCGTGCCTTGCCTTCTCTTCTCGCTCTCATTTGCGTATGTTAGCCACCATATATGATAGTCGCTTGCTGCAGCTCCACCTCATTACTCCATCCTTCCTATAAGCTTAAATAGTCTTGATCTCGCGGGTGCGAGATTGCTGAGTCCCCGTGGCTCACAGATACTTCCAAAACCAGCTTGCAGGTGCCGTTGAGTCCGTACAGATGACGCAACCAAGCTCAGGAGGAGCTCGATGAAGATCTTGTCCTTTGTGTTGTTTCCGTTCTAGTTGATCAGTAGTGGAGCCCAGTTGGGGTCGATCGGGGACCTTGTCGCATTTGGGGTTCTTCTTTTATTTTGGTTCCGTAGTCGGACCTTGAGTGTATTTGAATGCTGTAATGCTTTGTTCATGTAATTGTGTGAAGTGGCGATTGTAAGCCAACTATGTATCTTTTTTCCTTATGCATTACATGGGTTGTGTGAAGATTACCTCTCTTGCGACATTGCTTTCAATGCGGTTATGCCTCTAAGTCGTGCTTCGACACGTGGGAGATATAGCCGCATCGAGGGCGTCAACAATACTATGTGCAAGAACCTGAAAGATAGCTTTCATGAAATACTCTAGGATATAACCTAAATTTGTTTCACATGTTGTTCAAATAATTTATAGTATGCTTAATCAAACAGAATTTACAGTACAAATAACTTGACTGCATTGGGTATCTACAAGCGACAAATAGTGCCGAATGGGAAAACTGAATTACTTGTATCAAGGACAGTACTATGGAACCAATAATTTCTGTTATGATTTATCCCCAAACAAACTGGATTTAGATTACCTTCTAGCATTTTTACTGCAGGCTAATGCAAATACCAACTGTTTCCATTCAACTCCTTCTACTTATATCTAATACTACAACAGTCCACACAACTCCCTATTCCTAACTGAAGATTATCAGCAGTTGCAGAATACAACAGTTTCAGTAAACTGTTCTTCAGACAGTTTCAGTAAACTGAAGATTAAAATAGGAAGTACTATGAGGTTAGCAATGGCGTGTCTCACCTGGCGTCCCGGCCATGACGACGATGATGTCGAGGGTCTCGTCGCTGTGGGGCAGATCGGCGAGCAGTGGGGTAGGCCGTCCGTGCGTACCCGCTCGGACGCACATGACGAGGTTGGAGGCGTCCATGGCGGCATCCAGCCGGCGGGCCAGCTTCTTCCTCAGGTGGAACATGGACCTGCCCCTGAATACGAGTGAGGCCCAGGCGAAGTTGGCGTTGGGATCGCCGGCGCCGGCCTGCTCGTACTGGATCACCCGCCACGGCAACAGGAAGGCGAGGCTTCTGGGGAAGCGGAGCTGCAGTTGAGCACAAAGAACCATCAAATACGAAGCAGGGTACTCAATTATTTTATCGGACACAAATCCCCAATTGTAACGACAAACAAGAACCCAATTCGCCCAATCGATAGTTCCGCTGAAAGCAGTTCGAGAAGTATGAAGAAGCGGGCATGGCGGACTCACCCCAGTCGGAGCTGCAAGGCGAGGCGTGTCCTCCCTGGCGGGGATGCGCTCCACGACCCAGTGCATCATCGGGCCGGCGCTGTTGAAGTCGTCGACGCTGAGGTACTTCCCGTTGGCGCGGAGGCGGCCGGCGACTTGGCGGAGCAGGATATCGTCCCCCGAGTCGGTCCTGACGGCCTGCCACCTGATGACCACCTCCTCCCACGGCTCATAGTCGCTGTGGCCTCGCGGCGCCGGCGCGCCCGTGGTGCCGAGGTAGCGGCCGTAGGCGGCGCTGTGGAGGAGCACGTACTGGTTGTTGCCATCTCCCTGGTAGATGTGCACCGCCCAAGCCGAGTTCATCGACGCGCGGCGCCGGCTGAGGGAGACGCCAAGCCCGTCATCGTCCGCGTGCAGGTACGTGCCGCGCTCGCGGCTCCGCAGCCGCACGTGGTGGCCGTCCTCGAACTGCTCCATCGGTCGCCGGTGACGCTGGAGAGCAGAGGCGCGCGGTGGAGAGAGAAAGCGAGCGGGGAAGGAGAGGTGGGGATGGTGGGTTCTTCTCCGGCGACGGGGAGAAGGGGAGGAGAGAAGGCTGTTGTTGGTTGGGACGGTTACGATTGGGCGCCAAGGCGGGGTATTTCAAGGTGGCTGACGCCGTCGCCGTGCTTGCATAGTGGGCTTGAGGGCCCAGGCCACACTCCTGAGCGCAGCCTCCAGGCCCACATGATTTGTTTCCCCAAAAAAAAACTTGATTTGTTTCCTTTTGCTCTGATTCCTCAACACACTTGCAGCGCAAAATCCCTATTCTACGTTCACCGCAGTGAGTGAGTCGTTGTAAAGTATGAGAGGACACCTAATTGGTGTGCGGTCGTCGCATGTTTGGTTATGTGTACAAAGAGCATGGTGTCGCACTTGTTTTTAAGAATCTTCGCGTGAGGTGGAGCATGAGGACTGGTCGGCCTCCAATGGCCGGATTATGGTGGTTCTGGGAGACAGGGGGGGCGTTCAGGCTAAACTGGCCGGCCTGATGTAATAATTCTTTTTATCATAGCGATTTTATAG